TCCTTTAATGTTTTTATATTTAATTCTCACTCAGTTTGAACAGTGACCTCTCTGAGCCACAGAATTCTCCAGGTCGGACCATTTTTGTATCTGAAAGTCCATGTGCATGTTGGGGGTGGGTTGGTGGGAGGAGGTAGGGAAGAGCTGATCGGTTCTCTTATGTGTATGTTTGTTTTCAATTAAAGCTTCAGCCCTGCTAGTGCCCATGACACGGCTCAGCAGGGCCAAAGGACTGCAATGCAAAGAACCCACTTCCCGGAATTAAAGGCCCTAGTCCCTTCCTATTAGAATCATAGCTGGGGCTGGAACAGGAGGGTGATAATAAGTGAGCTGATTACTTGAAAGTGACTGTGGCCTGCCTATAGTTCTGTAAGAGCTTTGATAAATGTGAATGCTGCTTGGCAGGCTCAGTGTGACCTGACATTTTCTTCCCCCAAAGATTTGGGGCCTCAAATTCAGGCTAATTGGCTTTTTGTCAAGAGATTAGGTGGACTTAATTGAAGAAGGTTGAGCTGATCTGCCAACATTCATATGGCCTTAGACCCAGAGGAGAGCCTATCGAACACCACTGTTCTCACTGGCTGACAGCTAAAAAAAAAATGTGTGTGTGTGTGTGTGTGTGTGGTGTGTGTGTGTGTGTGTGTGTATGTGTGTGTGTGTGAGGCTAGAACCTGTTCTATTTTACAATGGCATGTTCTATGAATTTTTGTTTTAAGAACGAGATTACATTTTGGGGTCAGTCTTAAAACATGATAACCCTTTTTTGTTTAATGGACCCCTTTGTGAGTCTGGTGAAACCTATGGACCCCTTAGCAGAATAATGAAATAAGGATGGGTGGACAGCTCCCAGAGCTGATCTAGTAGTACAGAAGTATTAGAAACTGGAGGTGGACAGTGAACTGGACCCAGAATTGAATAGGAGAAAAAGAGTGAGCTTGATTAAGCTTGGTAGATGACATGATGGTTTTGATGAACCTGAGTTTCTCCCTGAAATAAAGGTCCATCTTTTTAATGCATATTTTTCCAGAGATGTTCTATGACTATGAATCATGGAATACCTATCATCTTTGAAGGATCAAGAATGTGATTCATTCAAAGGGCAATGGAGAGACATAAGTGGGGGTAATTAGGGTAGGGAATGCTACCAGTGATGGTGTACGAGGGAGGAGAGTTTTGCCATGGCAGCAAGAATACTAGCAGAGGACGCTGGCTTATGCCTGTCCTCTCTAATATTTCTAGTGCTTTTCAAGATTTATCAAAACTTTGAGCCACTTGGCATAGCCAAGGTGCAATGGAGACCATGTGCATTTATTCCTAGCCTGAGACACAGTGGAAGATACTGGAAGATACTGTGAGAGGCACACTGTCTACTTCCTGAAGTGAGGAAAAAGTATAAGAAGGAAGGACAAGGAATTTCCCATTGAGAGGAGTGAGGGGGAAGGGAAGAGTCTCACAGCTGCTTGAATGGCACTTTGGCATACAAGCAAGAAGCACAAACAATTTGAAGAAGAATTGTAAACTGAATAGCAAAATAATTGGAAGAGAATAGCAAAGTGAGTGACGGAAAAAATTATGAAGTAGGGCAATGTCAATCTTATGAATATAATCTCCCAGATTTGTGCTGGTGGTGAAGGAAAGATGTCCCTAGAAAACTCATGTTTCATCTAGCTGGAGCTGTGAAGTAGCTTTAAGGCAGAGCTGACAATATGTTGACTAGTCCTGAGGCATGTGACTTAGGTGGCCTCATTTGAAGAGAGAAATGACAATTCTCTGATTTGTCAGTGAGGCAAATGGTAGCAGGAAGTAGTAACAGGCTGGAGCTACAGCAGACCACAGCTAAAAAGCCCTAAGATAGTAGCAGCAGGACAAAGCTTCAGTGGATGAAAGCTAAGAATTCTGACAAGCAGCAGTAGCATGATGAAAGAACACTGGACAGCATTGGTGGAAGGTGGAGCTTCAGTCTATGGCAGCAGCGGAGCAAGGGAGTCATGGGATCATGACAAGGAGCTGTGGGAAATAAAACCAATACCTGTAGTGAGTCCCAGTGGTTTGCTGGGATACAGAGCCATGGGAACTCAAGCAGAAGAGGTTTTCTCAAAATTATACTGCTGAATTTTTTAAAACTCTCTCATTTTCTTTGATAACATATTCACAATGAAATGTTTTGCTATTTGATTTACAGTTCCTGTGCAATCTGTTGGTATAATCAGCACTGGATTGGGGCTTAAGCCATAAATTCCCTGACACATCAAATCTAAGTGACATAATTCTGGATTTGGATCTGTTATACACGAAAGTTTGGCATTAATGATATGCGCAGTTCCTCACATTTAATAAGGAGTTAATAAATGCTTTGTAGATATTTAAGAGATATATGAAATCATTGGGGAAACTAGAAAGCAGTCTGGAAGAAATTAGGTTTAGACCAACATCTCAAACCATTTATCAATAAGCTCCAAATGAATGCATGACCTAGATAGGAAGAGTCTTATCACAAGCAAATTAGAGGAGTAAGAAAGAAGATACCTCTCAAAATCATGGACAGGGAAAGAGTTTGTAACCAAAAAAGGGATAGAGAGGATTATAGAAGATAAGACAGGTAATTTTCATTACATAAAATTGAAAAACTTTGGCACAAACAAAATTGATGTAGTTAAAATTGGAAGGAAAAGTTAACTGGGAAAATACCTTTGCAAAAAGTTTCTTTGATAAAAGTCTGACATCCAAGATACATAAGGAAATACTTCAAATATATAAGAACAAGATTCATTCCCCCAATAGATAGATGATCAAATTATATGAACAAGCAGTTTATAGAAAGAAACCTAAGCTATCAATAGCTCTCTCTCTCTCTCTCTCTCTCTCTCTCTCTCTCTCTCTCTCTCTCTGTATACATACATACATACATACATACATACATACATACATATATATTTTCATGTCATATCCACTAGGTTGGGAAAGATTACCAAAAAAAGGAAATGACAGTTGTTGGAGATGCTGTAGGAAGACAGGTACACTAATGCACTGCTAATACAGCTGTGAATTGGGTCAACTGTGGATCATCTGATGAAGCTCAAACCTAGAAAAAAATGTGGAACTATATAGTCTCAAGGTCACTAAATTTGTACCTATCCTTTGACTCAATAATACCATGAGTAGGTACATTTCTCAAAGAAATCAAAGAAAGAGGGAAAGAATTGATATGTACAAAATATTTATAGCAGCACTTTCTGTTATAGCACAGACCTGGAAACTAAATTGATGCTAATCAACTGGAGAATGGCTGAACAAATTATGGCATATGAATGTATGGTATCTTATTTCAGAGTAACAGATGATGAAAGGGACTGTTTCAGAAAACCTTGGGAAGACTTATATGAACTGATGCAGTGAAATGAGCAGAACCAGGGAAGCAATTTGTACAGTGACTATAATATTGTGAAGAAAAACAGCTTTAAAGACTTACAGACTCTGACCAATGTAGTGACCAACCACCACTCTAGAGAACCTGTGAAAAAGTATGTTACCCACCAAATGAAAATGGTGGAGGACTTGAGGGGCAGATTAGGATTCATTTTCAGACTTGTCCAATATATGGATTTCACTTGACAATGCCTATTTGTTGCAAAATTTTTTTTTAAATATGTGGGCATTTGGGAGAGTTGAAGACTAATGACAGGGAGACAAAAACAAAAGAAGAAATAAAAGAGGATGCTTTTAGCATTAAAAATTGCAAAAAGAATAGAAGGAGGTTCCAGAGACTGAAAAAGCACTAAAAAGCAAGATGGCTTTGAAACTACTATGGTGATGTATTATATTATTTTAGAAATGCAAGGCTATATGTAACAAAGATTCATGGTGTCCTGTATAATCATTTTTTCCCTGTTCTTTTGTGTATATGGAAATGAACGTCGAGTGGGCCTCTTTTGGAGAATTTATAGGAGCTAGACAAGAGTTGTAAAGGAATAGAAGGCATGGGCAGGTTGCCATCTGTATTATTAGAAGAGTAACCCCATTCATATAATCACAGATGCACTGAATGTATTCTTTTTTATTTTTTATTTATTTTTTTCACTGAATGTATTCTTTTTTTTTTTTTAATTTTGGAGGCAATGAGGGTCAAGTGACTTGCCCAGGGTCACATAGCTAGCTAGTAAGTGTCTGAGGCTGGATTTGAACTCAAGTCCTCCTGACTCCAGAGCCAGTGCTCTATCCACTGTGTCATCTAGCTGCCCCCCACTGAATGTATTCTTAAGGGAAAAAAGGTGTGCTCTTACCTTCTTCCACTTCCCCAGACTCAGTCTTCAAGAGGAGGGGTGGGCATACTCCTTATTTGCCTTTCCCATGGTTAGACCACTGCTCTACTACTGATGCTCTAGCTTATTAAGATTCTTTTGAATTCACATTCTGTCATTCACTGTGTTAGCTAGCTCTCTGGACTTTGTATCATCTGCAAATTTGATAAGCGCATGACCTATGCCTTTAAGTCACTGATAAAATTGTTCTTCCAGCATAGGGCCATGTGCAGAACTCTGGGGCACTCTACTAGATACTTCTTGCCACACTGATCTTGAGCCATTAATTACCACCCTTTGAGCCAGTTAGGAATCTATCTCTTTGTATTATTTTCTATTTCATATCTTTCCATTTTCCCCACCAGAATAATATGAAACTGTTTAACTAAAATCTTTGCTAAAATTTAGGCAAACAATATCATAGTGTTCTCTAGTCCTATCAACAAAACAAAAGGAAAAGAGTTTAGCCTGGCATGACCTGTTTTTTGATGAAGCCATGCTGGCTCTTCGTAATTATCGCTTTCCTTTCTAAATATTCACTAGTCATTTCTCTAATGATCTATCCTAGAATTTTCCTAGGAAACAAAGTCAAGCTCCCTGGCCTATCTATACTTCGAAGAGTGTTCTCTTCTTTTCTTAAAAATCTGACATTTGTCTTTCCTCAATTCCGTCGCACCTCTCCCCTTTGCCTTGATCTTTCAGATATATTGGACAGTGGCTCAGGAATGGGATCTGCCGATTCTTTCAGAGCACAAAGACGGAGTTCATCTGAGCCAGATGGCTTGAATTCATCAAGGGCAGGTAGGTGCTCTCTTGCTCTCTCCTAATGTATCTTGGGTATCAACTCCCTGTTAGTCATTTTTGTTCTGTCATGTATGATGTAAAGGTCATTTTTCTTTGCAGAGAAAATGGAAAATGAGACTCGAGCAGTTTTCTCTCTGTAGTCAGTCTTCACCATTCCATTCATCTCAAGCAAAGGTTCCATTCCTTCTTTGATCCTCCTTTTTTCTTCCAATATAGTTAAAAACAGCCCAAAATCTTTTGTTGTCCTCAGTTTCCCTTGCCAGACTCAGGTTGTTGTACATATTACCATTCTTGACATTATTTTTGGAGGACTGTGCAATGTGTTTACATTCATCCTCTGCTACCTGGAATTCATACTGTCTGCTTGTAACACTGCCACCACATCTTTATGGCTGTTATTTACTAAACTCCAGGTCATCGCCCATTTTTTTAAAGTTACTGTGGTTATTTGGCTCATGGCCTTCCTCTTAACCTTATTACTACCATCATCTCTTAGGGCTTCAATAATCATGTTGACAACCTCTGTATCAACCTGATTTCACCTCCTTAATTCCAGCGACCTTCTCCAACCCAATTCACTTACACACCAGCACAACCATATCTTATACCACATGTGAGTGCTAGGACTCTGTAGGTCTACTCTGACAACAACCTTCTGCCCTTTCACCTCATCCACTTTCTAATTATAGCCATTGCTCCTCAGATGCATGAGCCAGGCTACTAGGTGTTGTAGTTGAGCCAAGGAATATTAACAAAACACTTAAAACCAAATCAATGCTTTCCTGGAGAAAAAAGATAATGGAACTGGGGCCACTTCTTGCCATGTAGTTTCCTCCTGGATCTCTGAATCTGAGACACATGGTAGAACTGCCATCACCGGATCATTTCCCAGTTAGGAAATATCAGGCACTTTTCAGGGCCAGTAGTCCTGGTTAAGGTAATCCCTTACTAATCTGTGGATATGGGCTTTTAAAGAAGAGACACAATGACTCAGCACAATCAACACAATGGGAGTGACCCAATAGAAGGAGGGAATTACATCTTAAATAGACAGTTTTGAAAGATCACAGCAGGAGGAAGAAAAAATAGAGAAAGTCAGGGAACACAAAATGATTCAATGCTTCCAAAGCAATAGGTAGCCCATCACAAAATAATTGCAGAGGTTGGACTTTTGAGTTACTACATTCATTCACACTATACCTTTTCTTTGCTTTCAAAAAGGCCTTCAGTTCTATAATCTTTTTCAATTTTTGTAGTCGATCTTTGTTACTTTACATTTAACTCAATCCCATCTTGACCCCATTGTCTGTCACTTTAACATTGCAATAGCTACTAATCCAGACCCTCTTACCCCACTAACCTTCTGCCCTACCTGTAATGGCATTTCCTTCCCATTTGTGATTCTCTAGCCTTGGAGTCCCACACTGCATGGCACAACCACTCTGTTCCCTTCACCAGCCCCTGCCTGCCACTATCATGGTCCCATTGCCGTTGCCCTCTCCTGGAGTATGTCTTTTTTTTTTTTTTGGCAATTGGGGTTAAGTGACTTGCCCAGGGTCACACAGCTAGTAAGTGTCAAGTGTTTGGTCTGAGGCCGGATTTGAACTCAGGTCCTCCTGACTTCAGGGCTGGTGCTTTATTCACTGTGCCACCTAGCTGCCCCTGGAGTATGTCTTTCCTCATACTATCACCTGTTCTCCTTGGGGGGAGGGTCTAAGCATTATTGGTCTGTAGTCAACTGAGTGATAGGTCTCCCCAGCTACTGGTATGATTAATATTTGATCTGTCCTACAAGCCACTTTATGCTTTCATGGGAGATTCCCAAGACATTTCTCCCACTTATTGGGAGAAATATAGGGTCTCTTTCTTTGGCCTCCCACCTCCTTCCTGGGATAAAAGTGTCACATGAACATATTTATGAGCAGGGAGGAAGGAGGCAGATGGGAAGGAGAGATTGAAGATAGATGAAAGGGAAGATAACCCGTAGAACAAGGTCCTGATGGAGATGGGGAGTGATTGAAGAAAAATTGCTGGCAGAGGCGTTAGATATAATGAGTATTGGGAATATCTCTATTAGTGGAAGGAAGAAGGAAAAAGTGGGTGATGATGCTAAGAAGACTTTATAAATAGATGAGAGAGGTTAAGGAAATTCACATCTTATGGTCTCAGGCATTTCAGTGAAATAAGAAGCTAGGTGGTGTTGTGAGTAGGGAATGAAGGTTCAGTTGGGGTTAAGAGAGAGAAAAAAGTATCCTTGCAACAGTCACTAATAGGAATGAGACAGGAAGTTGGCATGGGCAGAATAAAAGAATTGTTAAGTAGTAGGGAATCCCTGGCTGAGGTCAAGAATTTTCATTAGCTGATTTCTAACCTGTTTCATGACTTTGTCTAATGTTGTCCTGAAACTCTGGAGCAAGGCCATGTACACTGGATCAACTCTTGAAGGTTGATTACTAATTCAATCTGAAAAAACCAACAGTTAACTACAATAGTCTCTTAATCTTGGTTGTCCCACAAGGAGACAATCTAGAGATGAGAATTCATAGGTCAGCAATAGCTGAAGGTGGGGGCTGTGCTGGGTGGTTAGTGATGTGGTATAGATTCTAGGGCAGTAGTCAAAGCGCAAGAGCATGTTTAGTGTGAGTGAAGGAGGTTTAATTATAGGATGCTGTGGCCAGAGTGAATGAATGAATAAACAAAAAGCATTTACTTAGGTGCTTACTATGTGCCAGGTGTTGTGCTAAATGCTTGAGGTGCAAATACAAAAGCAAGCTAATCCATATTTTCAATGAGTTTACATTTTAATAGGGGAAGCAACACATATAGGAGAGTTGCAGCCAAGGAAAGAAGTTATGGTCTGGAAAATTACAAAGACAGTGAGTGAAACAATTGGGTAGTCAATGACGTGCAATTTTAGTTTCAATTGGATTAAAATTCTCAAAGCAAGAGGTGAGGGAAGTTGGAGCGCAGTAAGCAGAGCCTGCATGGTCCCAAGGAGAGCCAAGCACAGGGCCTTCCTGGTCAGATGCTTTCTGGAGACCCATTTGGGAGAGTGGAGAGGCAGCAGAAGACAGGAGGCAGGAGAGAATGGAATTTCAAAATTCTACGTCTTGGAGGTGATGCAATGCCAAGAGAAGATGAAGTCAAAGGTACATTCATGTTGGTGTCCCACTGGAGTGGTGCAGATTTATTAATTTTTTTTGAATGGAGAACAAATTATTTTATGATCGAGCTGTTCACTTTGGAGTACTTCCTTAACTCATCTTTTCATAACTTCTTTCCTATTTTCCCTCATTAGAAAGCAAGGAAACAAGCATTTGAGTAACTATTACGTACCAGGCACTGTGGTAAGCACTTTATTATTTCTTCTGATCTTCACAACAACCCTGGGAGGTAGGCACTGTTAGTTTCCTCATTTTATAGATGAGGAAACTGAGGCGGGTAGGGCTTTATTAAACTGCCTAGGATCACACAGCTAGTAAGTGCTTGAGGCCAGATTTGAACTCAGGTCTTCTTGATTTCAGACCCAGTGTTCCATCCACTGTATGGACTTATTAATATGGACATACGAACCACCTAGCTGCCATTAGATCCAGTTTTACAGACTACCTGTACTTCTCCTCCTTCCCCTTCATATTTCAGTTTTAAGGTTTAAGTTTTTGATCAGACTGTCAATTTTTTTTATGCTTGACACTGACAGTGAGAGAGGACTATGGAGGACCAAGTGCTTGTGTGAGAGAGTCTAAGTTGATTCAGATGGATTCTATCTGTCATGCACATGTCATGCACATGTCTGTACTATTTTGGCTAGCATTGAAAATAGGCTGGGGGTCCCTGCTCACCACCCTAACTCCTTTCAAGGTACAGCTTAAGAACTTTCTGGTTCCTCTAATTGTTACTGCTTCTCTTCCCCGAATTATTTTGTATTAACTTTGTGTGCATACACACATACGTATTTCCCACTAAATCTGACAGATCCCAATCGAGGGTGAAGGACGTCTCCCTGCTTTTCTGCAACAGGGACCCATGGAGCTCCAGTTAAAGATAGAATCTTCCGATCAGACTACAGATCCTCAGGCTCTGCTGGTCATGGGCTAGGCAGAGAACCAGCTTTGGCAACAATAAACTCTGTCCAGCTGGACTTGACTGCTGGACAAATTTTCTTGTCAAGTGATGTTATCTGGGTCTGTGGTTTAAATGAAAACATTCTTTGAGCCAAAGCCCCACATATTCTTGAATGAGTCAAAGTCAGCCTTGTGATTCTTTGCTAATTGGGTACTGCACAGTGATGGGTGACCCCTTTGATAGAAGTAACGTGACAAATCAGGCACCACGTTGGGCACATGTTGAGTAAAATGAAAACAGTTTCTACTTGTCAATAAAATTGACAGCTAAGTCTTGCCTTTGTCCAAGGGTCTTTATTGTCTGTCAATTTATTCTTTCTGCCTGGGTTGTGTCTTCCAGTAGAAATAGTACATACATGGATAAACATATTATATAAATATGTGTATGTGATAGAAGAGAATTCTCTGTTTTGGTACTTTCAAATATCAGATGGAGGTCATGAATTTTTTGAGGGACTGTATGGATGGAGTTCATGGTACACTGAAGTGGGAGGGGAAAACAGCCACTTGCCTGGATGTTGTGATTGGAATGAACCTTTGTATCAAAGGCAGGCTTCAGATGTACCCTATTAGGGGCTAGACCCATGGCTGAACATTGCCCCTCACTTTAGGGACCCCCCATTTGACCTACAGAAGCCTATGCAAGTGGATGGAGTCTGTTCCATTTGACCCATTTTGAGTTCAGTTTTGTTAAATTTGGTCAGCATTTTTTTTTTTAGGCAATTGGGGTTAAGTGACTTGCCCAGGGTCACACAGATAGTAAGTGTCAAGTGTTTGGCATGAGGTCGGATTTGAATTCAGGTCCTCCTGACTTCAGGGCCGGTGGTCTATCCACTGTGCCACCTAGCTGCCCCTCTGGTCAGCATTTTTAAA